AGAGCAGGGAGCCTGATGTGGGACTCGATCCCAGGACCCTGGGATCATGACCTGAGCCGAAGGCAGTCGCTTAACCGACTGAGCCACCCAGGCGCCCATGCCGTGGTTTAATTAATTGCCTTTTACACAGAATGGTCAGTGGCAGCCCTTTTTTCTCTAACCAACATTTACTCAGTATTGTTTTATGTATTAATGTAGTATTGTGACCTGTGGGGAGACTTGGAAACTTCCTTTATCTCTAATGAGTCTCGTAGGTCCCGACGATTCTGTGCTAGATCAGTACATGATGGTGATGAGGTTCTGAGCTTGCACTAACCCCACACGGGTGGTACAAAGCTAGAGAAGGGATTAGAGAGTTAGGGAGGGGGGTCACAGAGAAGAGAGAGTCACATAGGTACACACATCCAGATACACATCCAGAGAAAGCTCTGCCCTCAGAGATGTATATGTATTGAGGGGATGGAGGCCCAGAAGCAGAAGCTCACAGACTTACAGACATGGGCCAATACACAGACACAGATGGACACACACCAAAACACAAATTCAGAAAGAGAAGCACTAGTAGGAAAGAGAAAGACACCTGAGGGGGTGAGGAAAAGAGAGAATTAGAGAAAAGGAGGGCAAGAGAGGAGTAGAGAGAAGGAAGTGGGAACAAGAATGTCCCGTTCCTGTAGCGAGCTGGGATCTGCACCACCCACACTGGTGCTGGAGGGGTGAGCTCGCCCGGGGGTGGCAGGGGCTGGTGAGAGGAAGAGTGTTGATGTGATTGCTCTCTTTCGTAGTATTCAAGAAATGCTGACAGGCCAGAGGCTCTGCCACTCGGAATCTCACAATGATAGTGTCTTGGCAGCGCTGAATCAGCAGAGAAGTGACGGCATCCTCTGCGATATCACCCTGATTGCCGAGGAACAGAAATTCCATGCTCACAAGGCAGTCCTGGCAGCATGCAGCGACTATTTCCGGGTAAGCTGGGGTAGTGTGTTTGTTTCTGTAAAGATATCCATACACAGAGGATGACAAAGTTTCCCGAAGTGGCATGCAACCACCAGTCCGTTTGATGGCAGGCCCCAGACCTGTGAATATTGGGGGCCTTTCTGGGGCAGAATGAGATTGGGATTCTGGTGGGATCCTCCCGGGTCTGGCCACCTGGATGTCCCTCCAGTGGAGAGCAGACTTCGCATCTGAGCTGAGGGGTGTTTGATACCATCCCATGGTAATGCAGTGTGGCATTGGAGTGCCCCATGATGGGGGTGTGAACTGGGGAAGAGGATGTTTCTGGATTCAGGATCAGAAGGACAATCTGTAAAACAATTTGTTAAAATTTAAAACGTCCATTAATATATGTAGTGTTTCTGGGCGCCTGGGTGGCTCAGTTGGTTAAGCGACTGCCTTCGGCTCAGGTCATGATCCTGGAGTCCCGGGATCGAGTCCCGCATCGGGCTC